ATCCGAAGCCGAATTGTCCGTCCTCCATAGTGCGAAGTCGCTGCATTATGTCACCATCTTCGCACGGGGCACATGTCATGCTTGTCCCACAAAAGCGGATGAAGTAATGTTCACCTCGGATGAAAAAGTGAATGCTCTCCAGATGTATCGAAGACTTGCAATGCACTGGTGGCTAGTGACAAGTTGGGTCTGAACCTTCACTTGCGTGCATGTGGGCGCCATCTGACAATGTATCAAGTCCCTTGGCAGCTAAAGTTTTGCAGCGCGACACCGTTGAGTCAACTCTGCAAAGCTGCAAAGTGTATGGTCTCTCCTGTTTGCATCAGTTTAGTGGGTTGTGTACTCCGAAGTCTCTGTTTCACTCTCTTTTTGCACTGTCCCAGCTGATTGCTCTTCCTCCTGCCCGTTTCACAACTGCATGCGACTCAAGCCAACTTCTGCACCCAAACACGGTGCTTGTCAGAACGATGAACCTTGAAAGAGGCACCTTACCGCACCTCTCCCCAGAACAAAAAGCGCAAACACCGTCCTTGCTCAAGCACTTTTGCGCACTGCATTGGCAGTGGTGGTGACCGAGGTGAGACCGGGGTCAGCAAAGGCCACCGAGGCCCCAATTGCCAGTATGCTCGCATGACCATGCCCGTCAATCAAGCAGACTCTGCCGAAAGAACAGAGACTAATTGTGTGGATTCACCACAGCGCAAATTGCGTTGGGTCGGGGTATCTGAGACTTGCACCACCTCAGGCTTCTGTTCTCTTGTCCATCGGCAGGCCCTTCCCCCACTCGTACACCTCCTGCAGCAGCTTGCGAAACTCCTCGGCGTCGATGGGTTGGCCGCGCGTCTTCCCTTGCCGAAAACCCGTCTGAGCGTCGCAGAGACATGCACACCCCAGCTCCGCAGCTCGGGCGTGATATCTGGACAGCCACTCCTTCACGTTGGAGGCGTTGATCCCACCGGTGAAGCCAATGCTTTGGCCCACATTCCGGGGATACATCTCTGGCACCTCCCAAAATGTCAACAATTCCCCAAGCAAAACCAAGAACACCCCCAAAAGAACAAAGCTCTGAGAGACTTGAGGCAACCCGCTGGAACCCGCTGGCATCGCTCGAAGACGGCACCTCCGGCACTGCGTCCGGGGCCCGGCCCCGGCCACTGGAGTTGTCAAAGAAGGCCACCAAGTTCGGCGCGGGCTTTCCCTAGGATCGAAGGATTGGCTTGGACAGGCGAAGCGATGCGACCAAGCGGAGTCACGCCAACGCAAACGTGCGTTCAAAGTGTTTCTAACCCGACACCCGACAAAATGGAAAAGATGAGCAGGGGCCCTTACATTATACACCTGAACATTGCCCAAATGGCGGTTTCCCTTTATTTCGGTGTTGAAGAAGCCATGTCTCACCTGGTTGCAACATGGAGATCTTTTAAGGAGCCCTGATGGCTTTGATCCCTCGCCGACTCCATGGCGCAGACCGCATGGAGAACTCCAGGATTTTGCTCATGAAGGGCCAGGAGTCCACCGGCCCCGGATCCCCCGGGCGTTGGAACACCGGCACCACGAACAGCGTCTTGGGGTGCTGCTCCTCGGCCCAAAGCCCAAGAAAACCACGGCCAGAATGCTGGGTTGCTGCCCCTGCAAAATGTTGCAACTTTTGGGGGGTTTAGTGGGAAACCCCTTGATGTCCCAAAAAGTTAAAGTCTAAAGATCTAACCCAATAGCAGTAGAGAATGGGAGGGAAGGTGAGCCAGAGTCGGTGTCAAAAAGCCCGGGAAAGGACTCAAAAGGGAGAGATCCGCACCTCTGTATGGCTGGGATTGTCCCTCACTACTCTCCAATTACCCTGGGGTGGTATTGTGACTCAGACGCTTGCGGGATGCCATGCCATGACACCCTTGAGAGAAGAGAGAAAGAAAAACAGTCCCTGCCGAGACTCCGCCAGTTGGGCGATTCGCTTCGCGCTCATCTCCATCTTCTCCCCGGCGAACAGCTCTTGGGGCACCCCGAAGGCCGAGATGTTGATCTGCAGATGTCGCGCCCGATACTCCGCGCAGAGGTGCTCCACCAGGCGCAGCGCCTCTGGCTCTCCCTGGAGCAAGGAGCTCACGTAGGGGCACTCCTTGCTCTCGTTGAAGTGGAAGGAAAGCTTGGTCTTCGGGGGCATGGCGAAGATCATCTCGTCGATCTCGTGCCACGCCGGATAGGTCTCCCCATTCGGATACCTGCAAAGAACCTTTTCATAAACCGCTCTTTTTGGCGCTGCTTCCAAACCTTCCCTTCCCAAGTTGGAATTCTTAGATGTCTCCCACTGCACATCTCAAACCTCACTCTTGATAGAGTCCGCTTCGAGCGCGCCCCTCTCCCACGCACACGTTTTTTCTTCCTTCTCTGTTTCGCCTCGCCTGCGCTCCGCAAGGGGCGAGGTGGCGTCATACGCGGCCGTGGGTCGCCAGGGGAAGCCCTGGTACGCCAGCTGAAAGGCGGCCACCGGCGACACCGCCGAGCCCGGCGGGGCTTGGAGCAGCTGCAGCTCCTCGCCCACCCTCCCTCCCCATGAAAAAGGCCTCGGAACCTGGCTGCGGGTCAAAAATAGGTATCTAACCAAAAAAAAAAGGTAAATGGAAATGTGGATTCAAAACTGCGGTCCAATTCCTGGTGGGTTAATTTGGACCCATACCCGTTTTGGGGGTCGTGGGACACACGGATTAATGAACCCCAGCTTATGAATAGAGAGTGTCCCTGGGGTTATATAGTGGGCATTCAGGCCGCTTTTGGAGGGAGAAAAACTGTCATATTGTGATAGACTGGTTGGTTGATTGATCCAACGTCAACAATAAAGTGCATGCTACCCTCCCACCAATTAGCAGCCGGAACCTGACGTTTTGGGAGTCCTGGAAGACCATCTTCCTCTTAAAGGGACCCCCAACAATTCAGGTTCTAGGTTAATCGGTGGGAGGGCAAAGTGAACTCATGTTGGTCCGGGCCATCCAAAACTACAAACCCCACTTTGGGTGAGAAACTTGTCACCCGTGAAAAAGCCTAAGGATCCCCTTGGGTATGTCCTCCTTGGGCAAGGTGACATCGAGGCCGCACACGCCAAACTCCATGGGTCAAGAAACGGCAGGCGACTGATGTCAAACCAAAGAACAATTGAAAGGCCTTGCCTTTGAAGCGAAGGCACGCTCTGAAATACATAAGATGTGCAGAACTCGTGCAAAGCTGACAGGCTGACAGGCTGAGAGGCGCAACGGCTTTTGCAGCTCGAAAGTGCGGTAGTGTCAAGAAAGGGACCGGGCACATCTTGACACAAACTAAAAACATCTTGGTGTCGCTTAGAAATTGGGGATGCCCCCAATGTCCAGGATGCTTTCAAGCAGAAATGGTCGCCAGCCAGCCCACCATCTAGAGAGCACCGTAGCAATTCCAAAAACCTCAACTCACTTCCCGAGTGGATGGGTGGAACTGCTCGTTTCACCCGCTACTGATTGGTGAGCTCGCAAAAAACAAGAGTTACGAAGTAGATCAAACATCCACCCGCACGCAAACGCACGAGAAAAAAAAAAGAAGAAAACAACATATCAGAAGAGCCTGACAATCATCACGTCAAATGCCATCACCAAATTCCCACCTCCTGTTTGACACGTGGAGACTCTGAGCGTTCCGTCGCGGTTCATTGCCATTGTCCCAGGAGAAGCCGAGCGTGTGTCGACAACACGGCGCTATACTACAAAACATCGACTCATTGAGTTTCCCCTTAGAGGGCAACGAATTCATGTCTGCGTTCTGGCTTGCCCTCTTTCCGAAAGAAGGGTCTTTGCAAAACCAGCTGAAGATGGCTGCCCGGAGACGCGGCACCAAAAGAAGGCCAACACACCTCCGAGTGGTTGTATCTTTCGTATGTCCTGCGTCAGAAGTTTGCGCCCGGCAGGATAAACCCCTTACCCAACATGACGCAAAGAGTTTCTATAAGGCCTCGGAGCCTCAAAAAATGGTACAAAGCCAAGGAGCGAAAGCAAGGGTTTGGAGCGCTCAGGAACCAATGCATCCCGAAAACCACATCGGCTCTTTGTCACGCTTCCACCGCCGAACGCTACCTGCGGCGAGCGCTTCTGTGAGACGAAAAACGGGCGTCGGCTCCTTTAGAGCCGAGTCCAAAGATCGCAGGTAGGGCCTAGAAACCTGGCACGTCTACGCATTTGTTCGGAAGATTCCACAATGCATCTTGGCAAACAAAGGCCATGGCGAACTTTGTAATGGAGTGAAGCTGAACAAGAACGCAAACGAGTATGACACCGAGGGTCAAATAGTCATAGAGAGATACCACCATGTACTCGTAAAGTGCAGGCAAAGGCTTTGCTGCCTGGCACATCTGCTCCCATGCAAGAAACTTCTGTTCTCTGAGCATGCGGATTTTGCGGACCAGGGCCATCAAGGCTTGCAGCGAAGTTGCATTCGCCAGCACCAAAGAAAGTGCAACCTGAAAGTCCACATCCTCTGGTTGAATCATGTGCCCCAAGGCGAAAATCGTAGTCTGCAACTCCAGCTTTGTGCAGTTCTGGCACAGGTTGGTCAAAACCGCTCGGAGGAACATCCCTCGGCCGGTCTGGCCCAAGATGTGCAGCCCGCGCCGCGCGTCGTCATTGGTCACCTCCTCCCTGGCGCGCTGCAGGCTGAGCTCGAACTGGCCCTCATTGAGCACCGCCATGCGGTTCACATTCGCCAGGCACTTGATGGCGTCCGCGTGCCAGATCCTGACCCCGGTCCAGGTCTCATAGCCCTCCGGCTCCCCACGCGCCTCATGCTGGTCGTGGTGCCCGGACTCCGACTTGGGATTGAAGCCCATGCGGTAATCCACGCAGCGGCAGGGCAGGGCGCCCACCACGTAGAGTGGCAGCTGGACGACCAGGACACTCCAACTCAGCAGCATGATCACTTTCAGATCCTTGCCGGCAGAAATCCAGCTCAGAGGCGAAGACGCCCACACGGTTTCCCACGCCACATAGATCTTGCTCCAGCCTGGCGTGCGAGAAAACTCGGGGTGACACGTGCGGTCAGTGTGGGGGGGTTCCGGCGCGTGGTGCTGTTGGAAACTTGGGGAATGCTTTGGGCTCAAAACCTGCTAGCACTGTGCGGCAATCTTGCATTCCAGCGCTTGCCGAAGAGGTGAATACGTTGCTGTAGCCATTCAACAAAAGCTTCAAATCACTTTGCCTCTGCAAAAAGTACCTGCATGATTCCTGCCACCTTGCCAGAGTGGGATTTATTTTGCACCAGTTGGGTCGAAACTGAAGATGTCCCTGTGTGTGTTCTTGCCCTTTGGTGCCACTGACCCCTTTCAACCTCTCCTTCCTCAGCCTGAGGCGACCGAGATGGAAACGTGGCCAAACTCGCAGAAGTGTGGCAAGTTGCAAAGGATCCCTCGGGAAAGCTGGAAAGGCAGCAAACACCGCGTTTTGGACGTTTGTTCAACTGCTTCTTTAAGCATTTGTGAAAATAGCAAGCTTAACAGCATGTGACACCAAAAACCGAGTGCCGTGCGCTTGAACTTGACGCTGCGCTTCAGAGTGAGCTCGCTAAAAATCGGAAAGGCCCCCAAGCAGAAGTATGAGTCATGCACAAAAGCATCTCACCCGCTTGCAAAGGGAAGCCCAAAGTCTGCATTTCTCCCAGGCCCGCCACGGAAAACGCTGGCAAACTGCAACTGACGGCGAAATTCCTCCAAATTCAAAGTGTCGAAACAAGACAGACCGCCCGCACGGCCCGCAAACACAAGCTGGTAGCACTTTCCCTTCATCCACACGCGTAATCATATGCTGATATCCAAAAGCTACCTCCCCCCTCAGCAATGCCGCCGTATGTGTCTGTGTTCAAGTATTGAAAACAGCTCATTCAAAAACGCTGGGGAATCTCGGAGCATGAATTGGATAGAGAACTTTGAGTGTCCCGGTCACTTTGACGCGACATTGCCCAGAAATGGTGTTCGCACATGTTGAAACAAGATACATGCATGTTCAGCATTTGGGCAGCTAGAAAGCTTGTCAAATACCTCATAATCTCGCTTGCCCTTTTCATGGGTCCTTGCAAAATATTACATTGCATTACATTACATTGTTACATTGCACTACGTTGAACTATATTCCTGTTCAATCCATTCCATTCCATGAAAATTACATTACAATAACATTGCATTGCATTACACTCCGCTGCACTGCACTGTCGTTACGATACGTGGCGTTACGTTGCATGTACGCTACATGTACGTCACAGTACACTACATTGCATTACATTGCATTGCATTGTGTTACATTGCATTTCATTGCCTCACTTCACTTTGCAACTCTTACATACGAATTACGCGCGCATGCATACGCTGGGACATACCCAAATCGAGTCATCATATGACTTACAAAGAAACTAGAGCAAACAACAAAATGTGCGCGTGTGTGCGTGCAAATGCATATGTGACTGTGTATATATATATATATATATATATATATATATATATATGTATATGTTTATGTATTTATATATATATATATATATATTTATTTATACATTATGTGTATGTATGTACATGTAGTGCCACAAGAGTCTTGAAATCTTGGACTACTCAGGCCGCGAACTTCCTTTTCAGGCTGAGGCGCGTTGTGTTTGCTAGAGGGGAAAGGATTGCTGCAAGCGTTTCAGGGTGCAGCAGGAAATGAGTCAAAACAAACTCAGAACCGCTTCAAGTGGTTTGGTTTCGTGTCCATTCCCTTGCAATATGGGTCCACAACCGGTGCGGGGTTTGACACGCTGTGTTCTTGCACTTTGAGCGCGGACCATTGCGCATCGAAAGCAAAGAATAGACATGATGAAAAAGAGCCTGCAAGCAATTCTGCTGCATGTTCGGAACAGGGAAGGAGTATGATTGGATCAATTGCATTCCGCCCTGAGAAACAAAATTCTGTGAGGAATCTTGACAGTGGCCTGGGCAGCTGATGCTTCGGCAAGTAGAAGCCAAAAAAAGGCCCTGCGTCACCACATCTGCGTGGGATGTCAAGCTTTGAAATCCAGTAAACGCCAGCCAGACCTTAAAGGATGCCTCGCCCACCAGAGGCACGCTCAGCCCCTTCAGCCACTGCGCGACAGGTACGATGGTGTACATCACACACCTTGAAACCAAACAGAAATGCAAGTCTGTTTGAAAGGGTTGGTTTTGTTTTGAGGGAAACCAAAGGAAACCAAAAGAAACAATGTGGATGGCTCTCGCTTGCGCCTCCACTCCACAATGACCAATGTCATAAGAACCGGTACAAATGTCCACCACAGCCAGAGGGGGTACCTAAAGTGGCCAAAGGTTGTGCACTGTATGTGACGGTACGCAAACCAGGGCAACACGATGGAGTAGGTCCAGTAGACGACGGTGCTAAACCAGAGCCACTTCATGGGTGGGCCAGCGACATCAAACATCGTGAGCTTGTTGTCCATCTTTTCGCACTGCTTGCTCTCCATCCTCTTTGTCACCACAGCGGGGATGCCAAACCTGGCTGTGAACAGCCATGCAGGAAGCCACTCTGGCTGCCGCTCCCTCGGTGCGGCTCTTTGCTCGTCGGCATTCAACCTGACTCCCGCCCTTCTCCCAGACTCGCTCCAAAAAAAACGATGCGTCTTTGATCACATGCACCCAAGCACGGCAGGACATGACACCAAGGCCAGGACAAACAACCGACAGACCCGGAGTCCGAGTCGTCTTCCAGCTCCGAGTCGTGACCCGACTCCAACTCTCTGGTGCAAAGCATCTCATACTTATGCCTCGCTGCAAAACGCGAATCACTGGCCCTGAAGCTACAAACCCAACTCTCTGAGTGCCGGGCATTTCGTCTGGACTTACATGAAGGTGTGCCATGAACCCTTCTCTAACATGCCAAGCTGAAACAAATTTCCGCTTGTGAACATACGTTGCCCTGCGCAGACCTTTTTGGCGAAAGGGAAAAGCCAAACGCTGCGAATAGAACCAGCTATTTCCTGAACTCAAACGCCATGAGCTAGCACTTACGCTGCCAAGCTCGAGCCCAACGTTGCAGCAAACGAAGCTCCAACATGGCCCAGCGCCGGCCCAGGATTGAACAATCCAAACGAGAACACGTGGCAGTATTTTCTTTTGAGGGTACCCATGGGTACCCGAACTTGTGTTGCTCAAGAACAACCATTTGGGGCGGGGGGGGGAAACGACACCCACTTGTGTTTTTTCTTTGGGAATTGGGAAACGCGCGTGAGTGCGGGGAGTCCATGTACGAAGCCTTAGCGCCGAAACAACCACCTGTTGCTGTGATTTCATGTTCGACCAAACGACGCCTAACGCCTGTCGAGCTTCGTAAGCTCTGGAACAGGTCTGCAAGTTGGTTCGTTTCCACCACATTCTCAATCAATGCTGCTCGCAAGATCATAAGTGGCAAAACGTTGCTTTACATCGAGGGTGTTACACACGAGTTGGTGGCGGTATCAACTGCCACCTCGCTTGGTCCATAAGAAGTGGGCTGCCACTTGCCTCCAGTGGCAATCGCAATGTCCGGCCTGATGCCAAAAAGGGCACCGCGCAGGTCAGCACCAGCCACGTCGACACGGCGACGCTGCGCGCGACGCCTGGCCCGAGGGTGAGGAGCACATGGCCAAGCTCAGCGTGAACGCGATGATAAGCTTGTGGGCGCGCAGCACGGAGGTGGTCTACAGCGTGCGCAGCAGCAGCAGCGAGCTGGACGGGGCGGGCGCGGACTTCTCTCAGGCCTTCGCCTACAAGGGCGGCACGGTCTTCGACTTCGTCTACGCCCGGAGGCTGCTGAGCAACGGCACCTACCCATCCGGTCCTCGGCTTTGAGCACTGCATGGTGGCCAAGGCCCGGCGCATCCTGCACGCGCCGCCGCGCTGCCTCGCGCAGGTGAAGACGGACTGCCTGCTGACGCAGCGGCTGCCGAAGCGCTTCACGGAGCGGCTGGCGAGGCGCTGCGCCACCCGCACGGCACGCCGGTCTACCGCGTAGAAGAGACGAAACCGTTGCTGGGCATCATCATGGCGCCGCGCATGGAGGCGGAGCGCCCCAAACAACGGAAGTGGAACGAGGTGGACGACCCTGTCCACCACTGCCTGGCGGGCAACTCCCTGCTGCTCACGGGCCTGCCGGGCACCGGAAAGACGCACCTGGCCCGGACGATCGTTGCGAGGTGGATTCTATTCTACCTGACAGGCTCCTAGCACTCGTCCGTCCAGGAAACGACCTCGTCCTTCGAAGGATTTGAAACCTAAAACGCTGCGTGCAGGCGTGTGGCTGCAAAACAACGACCCCTAGATATGCTTGCAATTTGGCTCCAGGTTGCATTTCAAGCGAGCCAACCTTTGCAGGGCCAAGAAAAAAACAAGAAAAAAGAAAACAAGGGGTCCCCAAAAAAGGGGTCCCGAAAAAAAGGGAAAAGAGGTTTCCTTTGGCAAAGCTTGACCTCGCTTGAAATGCAACCTGGAGCCAAATTGCGGCGCATATCTAGGGGTCGTTATTTTGCAGCCACACGCCTGCACGCAGCGTTTTAGGTTTCGAATCCTTCGCAGGACGAGGTCGTTTCCTGGACGGACGAGTGCTAGGAGCCTGTCAGGTAGAATAGAATCCATTTGGGAAACCCCCTCTAAAGAGAGAGGTGGACCTGTCAATATTGATCCATTGTTGACTCAAGATGATTCAAAATTGATTCAATATTGAGCCCGGCATTGAAGCCCTGCCGCGCCACCTGCCTGGCATTGAAGCCTCCACCCGGCCGCACCACCTGCCCGGCATCGGAGCCACGCCAGCCCGCCGAGTCATACGAATCACGTGTTTTAATGTCCATAAGGTGGACATTTAATCCTACCGCTTTCCAGGATACTAGCTCGCCCAACGTGGAGGCTTCGATACCGAGCGCGCCACCTGCCTGGCATAGAAGCCTCCCGGTCGCGCCACCTGCCCGCGTCGGAGCCAGCCTGCCGAGCCCGCGCCACCCGAGGTCGGAATTCCGACTTCGTTTTTCCATCGAGGTCGGAATTCCGACTTCGCTCTCCCACCAAGGTCGGAATTCCGACTTCGGAATTTTGCCCGAAAAACCCATCACTGGGCCAGCGCCGCAGGTCTGTCAGCGGCCTGCTTCTCGCCAGGCCGCTGACAGAGTGTTTTTTTTTCACCATTACTCGCTTTGCCGTCAATCCTGCGCTGGGCACAGGATTGCCCCACTCAATCCTGCGCTGGGCACAGGATTGCCCCACTCAATCCTGCGCTGGCAACAGGATTGCCCCCCGTCAATCCTGCGCTGGGCACAGGATTGCCCCACTCAATCCTGCGCTGGCAACAGGATTGCTCCACTCAATCCTGCACTGACAACAGGATTGCCCCCTTCAATCCTGCGCTGGCAACAGGATTGCCCCGGTGTCTCCCACAAAACTGCGGAAGCGCCCTGCTATATGGCAAGCAGCTCCCGCACTCGCCGCTCGGCTTCCCGGCTTCAAATTTGGGAAGTAACGCAAAGGAATGGGGAAGATCAAGCTGTTTCCTACGACAGAGTATGGCAGTAAGCAGCCCTCTGACCCCGCGGTGCCCCTGGTGCCACGCACGGGCATTTTCCCCGGGCCATCAAAATCGGGCAAAACCGTGGCTCTGATCAGCCTGATTCTGGAGCAGTATCGCGGCGTCTTTGAGAGAATTTACATCTTCAGCCCGAGTGTCAACATAGACGACAGCTGGATCCCCGTCAAGAAGTACATTGAGGAGGACCTGGGGGTGAACACAGAGCGGGAGCAGACCTATTGGGACGAGTGGGACGAGGCGGCGCTGCGGCGCATCATCCAGCAGCAGCGCAAGATCACGGAAGCGTCCAAGAAGTTGGAAATGAAGAAACTGTACCAGGCGCTTGTAGTCATCGACGACTTTGCTGACACGCCGCAGTTGCACAAGCCTCACGGCGCCCTTGACACTAGCACCTGGGTGAGCTCGCAGAAGCTGAGGCTCATCAGCGCCGCCGTGCGAGTCAACCAGCAATTCCTCGGACGCCGACAGGGAGGAGCTCAGCGCCCTGCTGCCAAAGGCGACTTTTTTTGTTCGAACTGGTCCTCGGGAGTTGTCTCGTGGTTCGCGCGCCTGCTCCCGGAACCGGCGGGTCGCGGGTTCGATTCCTCCCTGGTCCGCGGGCGGGCGTCGCAAGATGCAACTTGCATTTGTCATTGCAAGGAGTCATGGCAAGGATTGCAACTTGCACTTGACTCCTTGCACTTGCAACTTGCACTTGACTCCTTGCACTTGCAACTTGACTCCATGCACTTGCAACTTGCACTTGACTCCATGCACTTGGCTCCTTGCGCTTGGCTCCTTGCACTTGGCTCCTTGCACTTGGCTCCTTGCACTTGCAACTTGCACTACACCCCTGAGCGCTCCGTGTTGACTTGGTCGAGTGGCAGGCCACCGCACATGACATGCTACAATAGCACTCTCGTTGTCGAGCATAGGGTGCCGAAAGAGTAGATAATCAGGTGCAGATCCGATTCCGCTACTTAAAAAAGTAACGATCCGTGGAGAGACAAAGGAGAAATGGCCTACGATTTCTTTCCAGGCAGAGGTGGCTGGTAATTGGTTAAAGTCTCCACCAAGGACAATACTCGAGTCAGTAAGTGTCCCGAGGTGAGAGGCAAGACGCGACCCAATTTCTCCGTTTTGGGACGGTAACGAGAGTCGATGGTGAGATGGCTTAGGCGTTGGTCTCCGGAGCGACGTTTTGGAGGTTCGATTCCTCCCCGGTACCTCGGTGGGCTGACGTGTTAGAGACCGGTGACATGGGCGGTGTCAGACCCCGGCGAAATCAGCGGTGTGCCTCGGCAGGCTGACGTGTTAGAGACCGGTGACATTGGCGGCGACAAGCTCAGCAGGCTGGAATTCGCAGGCTTTTCGGGGTAGAAAACGGATTTCGCACTGCAAACACCTGGAGCCGGTTTTCGGCGGAAAACGAGCGAATTTGGAGGCCCAGGCAGCACAAAAGACGCAGGACACGAAAAACGCACTTTTCGGAGTTCGCCGTTTTCAGCGCTTTTTGCTCCAAAAACGGAGCGGTGACGAAGCGGTGACTTCGCTGGTGACAAAGGATTTTTGGACGAAATTTGGCTGTTTTGGAGCGTTTTGGGACCAAAAATCACAAATAGTTAGGGGTGTATAAGCCCCCTTTCCTTACTACTAATCTCATGAAGGCTACGCGATTAGCTTGGCAGATGCTCCATGCAGGTCAAACCCAATCTCGCTCCTTTTTTCTTTTTTTGAGTACGCAGTCTCAATTGTTTTTCTTACCTCTGCGATCTCCCTGTTGATTTCACTGCTGCTGAGTTCAAAACTGCGTATCACGGGCTTGACCATACCATGCCGACTCTTGGGCCAGGCTGGGGGTTCTCGCTATCCAACGGCGGCTTGCCGTATACACACAGCGTGCCCCTCAAATCTCCATGTCTGTACGTGGAACGTCACGAGCCTTGCTACCTTTCCAATCACCAGGACAAACTTGCGCACATATGTGTGGGCGCGTTAAAGGGTTTACTTGGCTCCAGGAAACCAATTGGACTGCAGCCCAGCCTGCGATCCTTACCACTGCCCATCACACATTAATGTTGCGCAATGTTCCGTCTGACCAAGTTGGTAGCGGTGGCGTGTGCATTCTCCCGCCCCTAGGATGGGTGCAGGTTGAACACACTGAAGTTATCCGCGCTGCAGAGCTCGCTGGGTCTCTCCAACAAGGCAGACCAGTCGGCCTTCGACGTGCTGGAGGGCGTGGTGGCCACTAAGAGCACCCCGGACGGCGTGGACCTGAAGCTGTCCAACTACAGCACCACGGCGGCCATGAACGGTTCCATTGCCTCGGCCAACAACGCCACGCTGGCCA